CTGGAAGCTGAAAGTGCCGAAGACAAGGGCAGTGTCAGCAGCCGCCAGACCTGCGGAACTGGAAAGTTGTGACCGACTTGCTCTTACAATGGGCCTGCAGCTTGTTTATGATCATGGCCAGTTGAGGAACAACAGTCCCGGGTTCAAGAACTCCAGCTGCGCGAGGGCGTTGACGCCAAAAATGACGGTAAGCTGGCCCAAACGCGTTCACAACACACTACACAAGTGCGACTGCGGTCTGCCTTGAGGTTCCCACCAAAGCACGCGTCAGAATGGGTAAGTTCCTATACCTTCAAGCTCCAACAGGAATCATGAACACGAAACATGCGCGCACCACCAATAACTTGACCTGAGGAACGACATTGACAATTTAAACCGAGTGCCATTGTTCCGGTGTATTCTCCATGCCCCAACGCCAGCCTCCACGCAAGGGCAATACACATTTTGAGCATGTACAGAAATTACAGAACTACATAACACAAAGCCGAAGGTTGAAGCTGCAGATGCCATGAAAACCTGACATGTTTGAGAGCGCCTGCCTCAGTGCCGACACAGCTTGGCCCCTGCAATCTATATCACGCTACCTTAGTTTACGACAAACCACCTGTTCCACATCAAGTCGATTGTTGTTCCTGTGCAGGTTTCGATGCTTGCAAAAGCTTTTATGTATAGCAGCAATTGGACTGTCTAAAGGTGCACAGCATGCGGTGATCGCCAACCCCGCTGAAATGAGCATTGGCGCTGGCAAGCAAGAAAAACACTCCGCGCTTTTAGGCGACCAATCACATGTCTGCGAATCTCGCAGAGTTGGCAAATCAAGGCAGCAGATTGATCTGAAGCTGCGAAGCAACGAGCTACACATTCTGCTGCTGTTGTTTGCAGCAAGTTTGAAACCAGTGCTCCATCTCTTCCAGGCATTCTTTCGATATGTCCTATAGCTGCATGCCAGATCATTGCAAGTTGAAGCGTTCGCAAAGTCGACGAGGTGCACTGCTGATTCATCAAGCCAGCCGCAAAGCACAAGGAATGAAATTCCAATGCAGCCTGCAGGCAAACCCTTCTAGAGTGAATTTCGGGATCGCATGTGCATTCACTGCTAGAGACAACACTTGCGAACAAAACAAGGACCATCAAGGACCCATAACCCATAGCTCCTGCCTCTGTTTATTCTACTGCAAAAGCCTTTGATCGTTGGTAACTTAGGCACACGCCACTTGCTGGTGCTCTACTTGCAGCGCGGCAGTTGGCGGACGAGAGCAATTAAGTGCCACAAGCAAACAATCATGACGCAGCTTGTTGCTGCTGGGGCACTGCAGGACTTTTGGCATGCACACAGCGCTTGGCCTGGCTGCAGCATTTGGCTCTGCGAATCCTTATTACAGTCAGCCTTTGCTGACCTGCTGCATTGCGGCTCAGTAGAAGAATACCGCAGACACCGCAGGCGTGACAGTGGCTTCCCTCCAAGGCGAATGAAGCCGTCACGGCCAGAACCTCCTTTTGCTCCGCCTCCACGCGCGGTGCTTGAAAGCTCTGACACCTGTGGAGCTCTGTGGTACGACCTCCTTCAACAGCATTTGGATCACGTGGTTCTGAGGGCCTGACAACGATGGGAAGGTCTTGGCGGGAGACATAGATGAGCCACTTGCCGAAACTAATTTCAATGTCGCAGCAGTAGACAGTTGGCAGTAGATTCAGTCCCGAGGTTCAAAGCCTGGGAGGAGGCCATGAAAACGCCTGCCGAACTGAGACTGAAATCAGGCCGCACACTGCCTCCCTGTGGGATGTTAAAGTCCAGGGCTTGCACTTGCAGATGCTTGCAGTGCTTGCAGTGCTTGCAGTGCTTGCAGTGCTTGCAGTGCTTGCAGGTGAGCGGTGGCGCGGCTTCAACTTCGGAGCGAAGAGGTCAGAGATCAGCAGAGTCTCGCACTTGCCTTCGGCCTTCGCATTGTGGCTCTTCTTAGTTGCCGCTCGAAGGTCGATTGCTGGAGAGGTCGTGTTCTGCACGGCGATGATGGGCTATCCCGAATCCTTGACGGACCCATCCTTCGAAGGCCAATACGGAATTATTCAGACTTCACCTTTCGAAACTGAACCGTTGAATCCCTTTGGAGGCCAAATCCTTGTGCTGACCTATCCAATCGTCGGTAATTATGGCGTGCCACCCGACGAGAAAGACGAACAAGGGATACCAAGGTCCGCGATGTGGTGACGATCGCTGCCTGTGCGCTTGGACTCATTTTCGCTAGTCCCTGCATTGTCGCAGGTATTTCGAGGGATCGCGGATCTATCCCGTGGCAGTCGTAGTGTCGGAGTATTCTTTCGCGGCATCCCACTATTCCGCCGTGAAGAGCTTGTCTACGTGGCTTGAACAGCAGGGGCCTCAGCAATGCAGCTGAAAGCTGAAAGTCAATGTAACAACACGTGCTGGACCGTCCGCGTCGTGGACTTAGGCACAACGTGCCTGGGATTTCTGGCGTGGACACGCGCGCCATCACGAAACGTCTTCGACAAGAAGGCCGCCGCAGACGGCAACAACCTCTGCTGTGGCCCATGCACCCAAGGATCAGCTCTTGGTGCTGTGGTCGTCGGGGGTGATGCAGCACCACAATGGGAGGATTGCTTATCTGGAAATGGGTTCACATGTTTGCATGTGATTCCATCTTCCAAGTGACAAGAAAGATGTCCCAGTCAGCGGTAGGATCCAAACGTGAAGAACTTGGTGGCCCAAGTGTCTGTGCTGGGCCGTCAGTGCGGCCTGATGAGCTGTGGCCAGTCCTAGAATTGCTGGATGCACAGGTCCAGCCCCAAACTGTATCAGCCCACCCGTGATGAAGCGGATGAGGGTGCCTCCCCAAGACCCGTGCCCAGCCCGGTGATCTCGCGTGGGGTGGTCTTTGGACTGTTAGGTGAGCCTCCGCTGGTGGTGGCTGTTGACTGTGGCATGAAGAACACTCCCTCAGATGTTTGCTGGATATCGTGCTTGAGTCGTTTCAGGTAGTGTCTTGTGTTTTGGATTGCTCCAGAGGGAGCAAGTATAAGTATCGAGGCTCAACATCGTGCGGTACTTCATCCACTACCTTCGAGTCCGCCTGAAGGTGGTGCCATGGGACTATGACTTCTCCAAGGAGGCTGGCTTGCATGGCTTGCTGACAGCTCCATATTGAGACGTTCCGTCAGTAGGAGGCCGAAGGCTGTGAAATTCTTACAGTAGTTTGACGAACACAAGCCGATTCTTGTTGGCAGTCTACACCTTTCTATTGATTGATGCGTTTGGAGGAGTTCGATGGCCTTTTCATCAGCAATGGTCCTGGCGATCCGGAGAAGTGCGGAGCTCAAGAACAAGTCGTCAGAGTGACAAGGCAGGGGGCCGGGGGTCGTCGCACTCAGGTGTGAAGCAACCGTGAATTGCCTCCGAAAAATTATGCAAGAGCGACCGCACTTGCCCATTTTCGGCATCTGCTTGGGGCATCAGCTGCTTTCCCTTGCAGCGGGTTGCAAAACCTACAAGATGAAGTTCGGCAACCGAGGTGTGCCAGGAGCTTACAGTGGGGGCTCACTGTGCACCCTACTGGACCCTACTGGTAGCTGCCACACGTAGCCGAGGAACCAGCCGTGCGTGGACCTGCGCACGGGTCGCTGCTACATCACCTCTCAGAACCACGGCTTCGCTGTGGACGACTCGAAGCTGCCGGATGGTTGGCACACCCTTTTCACCAATGCAAACGATGGCTCAAATGAGGGCATTGGCCACAAGGACAGATCACACAATCCACCACAATCCTGTCGTGGAGCTTCTGGTATTGCTCCCCGCAGGAGAAGCCATGGTTTTCAGTGCAGTTCCACCCCGAGGTGGGCAACTGTCCTTAGCTTCATGTCATGACAGCTCCTTCGCAGCGTTCTATGATCCTGGGTTGCGGCCTGCTGACGCAGGCCTGCTGTGGTCCTGTGGACACTGCCTTTCTCTTCGATGATTTTTTCAAGATTCTGAGGCGCGTCCGGGGAGGGACGGGGGTGGCTCCGGGAAGGGACGGGGGTGGCCTTTGCTTCGTGGCTTCGCAGTGTCGAGGAACTCGGCAGGAAGGAGTTTGACAACCATCAGTTACAAGCACCCGCAGGCGATTTCAAAGGCGAGACCGTGCACACGGAGCAGCTGTTGTGCCGACAAATTCGTGAGCTCGAGAAGCTTGTGAGGTCTTGGTGCTGGGGTCCGGCGGTCTGACAATCGGGCAAGCTGGTGAATTCGATTACTCCGGGAGCCAGGCCATCAAGGCCCGACTTCGTGAAATCTTCTCTGCAACCCGCTGTGCCCTCCATGCTTGCCTTGCCAAGGCACTGCGCGAGCAGCACGTGCAGTCGGTGCTGCACCCCCGACATGATTTTGATCTGCCTCTGCCATGGCAGCCTTTTCGGAGATCTCGCAGTTCAGCATCGATTCCAGGATCAACCCCAACATTGCGACCGTCCAAACATCCCGGGGCTTGGCTGACCAGATTTACTTCGTCCCGGTTACACCGGAGTTCGTAACGAAGGCCGGCCGCTTGTTTGCCACTTGTCCCAAGTGTGCACCACTGACAGCCGCCCTCTCCCTCTCTCTCCCTCTCTCCCCTCCCTGCCCTCCCTTCCTTCGTGCCTCCCTTCCTTCCTCCCATCCCTTTCCCTCCCTCGCAGGTAATTGACAAGGTGAGACCGGATGGATTGTTTGCCGCATTCGGCTGGGAGCCCAGACAGGCTATCGCTGCGGGCTGGAGAGTAACAGTGAGCTTCCCTAGGCCTAGGCCTAGGCCTAGGCCTAGGCTCTTTCTGCTAGGTGGGCAGACGGCGCTGAACTGTGCAGTTGCACTTCACCGCGATGGCACTCTCAAGAAGTATGGCGTGAAGGTGCCGACATGCTGCTAGGAATGAGAGTATACATGAGTATACATGACCTGGCGGCGAGCCAAATCGCATTGTGCGTCTATCGTGCGGAGGTTCTCGGCACGCAAATCGATTCCATTGTTGCAACGGAAGATCGCGAGATCTTCAAGGCAGGGAAGAGGTCCAATGTGAAGATCATCTATTTTCTTTGCTCTGAGCCGACCACTTTCCCAGGTAGGCGTCGAGAGTCTCGGCGAGAAGTGCGCGCAGTCTGCATGCGCAAACACCTTCGAGGAGGCACGACAAGCGCCGGCCTCATGCTTGCTGCAATGCGATGCATATTGGGGATTGTTATGGTCAGTTCTGAGCATCGAGGAGTACGACCTTATCATCCCTTATCCTCGAAATGCACCAGCAAATGAAGTCTGCAAACATGGCAAGTGTGCTTCAACACACTTCTTAAGCAAGACAAGTGAGCATCACATCGGTAGCCCGTGCTGCGCAAGGGTTCTTTGAGACCATCGAAAGCGGCAGTAGTCATGCTTCAGTTGGGCTTGGGAACTTTGCATGCCAGCAAGGTCGCCCGTGAGATTGGATTTCCGGTGTGGGGCCTGGATTTTCACCAGCCATTGCACTTTTGCAACATGGCCCGCTTCAGGTGCTTGTTCGAGCTGCGTTTGCATTGGGTGGTCTGGGAAGTGGCTTTGCGTCGAACGAGGCCTTGAAGTAGCACGCAGTTGCACGAGTGCATCGCCCAAGCTGAGTTTCCTGCAGGAAGACCTGGAGGTGCTTCTGACTCGAGCTTTCGCCACCTCGTCTCAGGCAGGATGCCAGGGCTCACGCCGTCTGCACACCCTGCTGCCTGTACCTTTCGAGGTTTGTAGTGTTTGTTGTTTGGCTTTGCCTTGGCAGGGATCGGCTTCAATGCTCGTACATGCCACACACGAAATTGTGAATTCATGTTTCCTTCATTGGAATGGCATGTGACTCGTAAGGGCCAGGGTAAGTTTGCGTGCGGATCACGGGCTGCTCATGCGTGCGAGGTCATCATCGATGAGTGCTTGAAGGGATGGAAGGAACTGGAATACGAAGTGGTGCCAATGCCTCAATTTCTCGGCGCTGGCTGCCAGCTTTTCAGTGCAGCCACATGCTGGGACATATGCCGTATGCACATGGAGAGCCCTGCTACCGTTGCTACCGCAAGGCGTGATTCCCGGGACAACTGCTTGGTCGTCTGTAACATGGAGAACCTGGATCCAATGGGTGTACACACAGGCGAGTCCATTGTGGTTGCGCCGTCCCAGACGCTTTCGAACGATGAGTATCACAGACTGCGGGCCGTTGCTATCAAGGTGATGCTCTTAGTAAGCGCCAGCCAGTCAAGCAAAGTTAGAATGCCAAGCCGGATTTCGGTTGCACGCGCCAAGGTGATTCGTCATTTCGGTATCGTTGGCGAGGCCAACATCCAGTATGCCTTGGATCCGAATTCAAACCGTGCCCTGGCTGCAATGTTGGTTGACATGGCTCATGCAAGGACTCTGTATCACTGCAGTGCCAGGCTACCGCATTGTCGAGGTGAACGCGCGGCTTTCCAGAAGCAGTGCACTCGCCTCCAAGGCACAAAACAGGTGAGCTGTGAGCACCTGCGGCACCTGCGATGGTGAGGCAACCGGGTATCCGCTTGCCTACGTTGCTGCCAAGCTGGCCCTCGGCTCCTTGCATCAAACCAGTCCCAAGAAGACTCTACAGTTGACCTGGCTCCTGTGGGAAAGAACCAGGCGAAGCTTTGTGCATTTCGTCCTTGTCAGGTCACGATCTCGTGAGCTTGAGGAATCAAGTTACACGCTCAACCACTGCGTGCTTTGAGCCCTCCTTGGACTACTGTGTTGTGAAGGCCGTACACTCGTCCAGCCAGAGTGCGAGAGGGTTTTGCACGATGAGCCTGTTTTTTGAGTCTGACAGATCCCTCGCTGGGATATTGACAAGTTCCCCACTGTGGAGCGCACTCTGGGGACGCAGATGAAGAGTGTCGGCGAGGTTATGTCCATGGCACGGTCATTCCCCGAGGCAATTCAGAAGGCACGGGGCACGGGTCGGGGTTGCGGCATGCGCTAAGAGGTGTAGTCAAGTTTTCCTCGGACAGCCCTGGTAGGCATTGCGCATGGTCAACGAAGGGTCCGTCGGCTTTGATGGGAGTTGGCCAGACGCCTAACTGAAGCAGTGCAAAGAGCCAGATTTGGGTCTACCCCCCCCTCTTCAGGTACTTGCGCGCACGGTCGTCAGCGGCAGTCTCCAAAGACGGCAACATCGAGGAGGAATTGAGATATCCAGGACCGCCACGCCCTCAGGAGTGTGCGCAATTTACCTTTACGGCTTGGACTGGCTGAAACTTCGAATGTCAGAGGCTGACGTTGATCATCGTTGATCTGATGAAGATTGATTGTTGAGCCTTGAACGAAGGCTTCGGATGTGGGCGATCGCGCATGCCTTCGAGAAGAACTACTCTGTCGAGCAGGCGAGGGAAGGAGACTCGAAGCAACACCCTGTTGGCAGAGCAGACCTTGACAGGTCTACCAGCTCACCAAAATCGACAGATGGTTTTTGGCGAAGCTCTTCTCTGTGCCTCAAGGGTGATCAGTGAGGTGATCATGCGCTGCTCGGGGTCATGTGATGTGCAGGTGCATCAAGGTCGCAGGAGAATGGAGGGAATGGGCAGCCTGGATGGCTTGCAGAAGGCATCGGCATTTCTTGGACTCGACAGGCTGTGGACTTGTGCGTGGTCTGAGAGGGCCTTGGACAAGCTGTGAGGCTGGCCCCGATTTCCTTCGCCGAGTGAAACAGCTCGGATTCTGCGACAGGACAGGGACACAGCTGACACAGCTTTGCTCCTCACCTGTCACAGACCGGACTCTAAAACTCCAACATGAAGGGCATCGTCTCTTGTCGGAAGGCAGATTGCCAAAGCAGTCGGCAGCAATGCAGAAGCAATCATGAACCTGCGTGCTGGCTGGAGCATTCGGCTGGAGTCCCAGCAAAGGTTCTTGTCTCCTTGGTGATTTTGAGCCTCAGATGACTGACCGACGAGGCCTTGCGTGAAGCAGGTGGACACCCTGGCGGCAGAGTTCCCGGCAAAGACGTTTGCCTCGCCGGTTCTTCTGCTGCGGGCTCTGTGTGCTGCTCTGATCTGCTCTGTTGCTCTGCCAGGAATTATTTGTACTTGTCTTACGTCGGGACCCAGCACGACGTGCCTCCACTGAAGAGCGAGAAATTGGCTCCTCACAAGGTGCGGCGTTGACGGATCGTGAATGCTTGAGGCGGTCTGCCGCCTCACTTCTGCAGGATTCTCTGTATGACAGCGCCTTCGGAAGGGGCAAGCTGGACGAGGAGCCCAAATGCCCCAAAGCGTAACGATCTTGGATACCTGCCCCTTGGAGGAGTCGGGCTTCACCTTGCCAACCAGGAAGCTCGCAAAGACTCAGTCATCTCCCGGAGGGTGGAGCCCTTCGCTGATGAGTGCGCAGTCCAAGGAGGCAGACTCGGGGTGTCTTTTTGCCTGGAAGGGCCTCGAGACCTAGAGGACATAGAGCTACGTTGTAGCCGCTAGAGTCGGGCAACACGGAACCATGGGCCAGAAGCATGAAAGGTTCGAGATCGGAAATGAGGAAGGAATGGGAAGAGACTCACAGCGTGACAAGACAAACTCCGCCGACTCACAGTGCCCTGACATGCCCTGACCAAGACCAAGGCCCAAGGCTTGCCATGGCTTGTCCTTGCGTCCTGATATGTCCTGATAGCACAGCATTGCCAGTCCCGGCATCGTCCCGCCATGGGCGCAAGTCGATCCTCGCCCAAGTCGATACTTTGCAGGTTCCTCCCCCACTTGACTTGGGCGCTGACAAGGACGAGAAAGCGGCATTCATCGTCCCTCGGCTCCGTCATGCTTCCTTCTGCACCACTCGACAGGATGTCGACTGTCCCTGCGCCCTACACTATATTGCACTATCCTACACTGAGCCTCAGCCGTGGTTGTAAAGGTGCTTGGATCCGGATGCTACCGGATTGGAGCATCGGTGGAGTTTGACTGGGGCTCCGTTTCTGCAGTCAGGTAGGGCTGAAAGCTGGCGTCTGAATCTAAAGTACTCTGAAAATCTAAGAACCTCGTGTGCTGCAGGACTCTGCGAGAGACAGGTCATCGAGCAATGGCAACTCGCAGAAACTATTCCCGTGTAGTTTCCCCACGCTTATCCCCGCTATGACATCCACTCTTAGGTGATCAATTGCAACCCCGAAACGGTCTCCACTGATTACGACGAAAGTGATCGGCTGTACTTCGAGGACCTTGCCTCAGCATGCAATAGATAAGGACGAGTGGAAGAAGGCGTTGTGCGTTTTCCTGACATCTCGTGAGCGAGGAGCTCACGCTTGAGACCGTTAGCGAAATTTGCAACTTTGAGCAGCCGAATGGCGGGGGCCCCCTGTAAGAGCCGGCTTTGAGCCCGGCTTTGTTGTGCTACTTGAAGCTGCGAGCGCTCACATGCGCTCACTCAAGGCACTATTGTGTCTGTTGGCGGCCAAACGTTAATCAGCCGCGCTTACCTTTGGGATTCCGTTTGCTGGAACATCAGTGTTTTGGAAGATTTTGGAAGCACGTGCACGCATGGCAGGCCCAACAACTTGGCTCCCCAGCTGGACAAGCTTGGAATCAGAATACTGGGAACCGCAGCACAAAACATCGATCGTGCTGAGGAGACCACGCCGCAAGTTCTAAGTTTTCACGGCACTGCGTGTCGACTGCAGGACCGCTCCAAGTTCTCAAGCATGTGCGATGAACTCGACATCGACCAGCCTCAGTGGTCCGAATTTGTGCAGCTCGAGGAGCAAATCTCAGTGCTGAGCACGAGACTGTTTTTGGTATGTTTTGGTGACCCCTGTTCAGTTCGACAGGAAGCGCTGTTCTTCGCGAACAGTGTCGGCTTCCCTGTGCTGGTGCGTCCGTCCTACGTCCTCTCCGGAGCGGCGATGCGGGTCATTGACAGCGAGGCCGTGATGGCGGGAATTGCATCCTAAGCCCAAGGCCGTCCAAGCTTCTAAGGAGCAGCTGAAAAGCTTCTTGGGCACTTCGGCAGTTGTCCACTTCTCAGACCTCTTGGGAGACACCGTGCCAGCCAGAACTCAAGCACCTTTCAGGTTGAACAGGAGTTCCCAGTGGTGATTTCCAAGTACATCGAGGGAGCTAGGCCTCGGACATCGGACAGTGGCAGGAGAAGATTTCGCGATCTGTCCCTGAATGCAAGGGAGATCGAGTTCGATGGAGTTGGGTGCAACGGGGAAATCATCAACTATGCGATTTCGGAGCACGTCGAGGAGAGCCAATGCCCAAAGCACCGGATGCCGTAAGCTGAACACTTTTGGGACATCAGGATGCTGGCACTCACAGCGGTGATGCCACCTTGCTGCTGCCTTCCCAGCGCCTGTACCTTGAGACGAATCGGCGTGTCATGCAAATCGCCGCACAGTTGTGACACGGCAGCACTGGAAGTTTCTCATGCGCGCTCTCACATAAGGCATGTTGACCTTAGACTTGAGGCAAGCCTTTAAAGGGCACTCAAGGAGAGGAGTGACATGGCGTGACCTCGTGACCACTAAGTTTTTTGGCCGGATGGTGTGAGAAGCTGTAACAAAATTCGAGTCGGAAGTGTGAGCTCAAATTTTCCGAGGCTTTTGGACTAGAACTGAACGCTGAGTCTGTGGTCCCGGTGCAGGGAAGCTCGAAACAGGGCAATACACTTTGAATGAGACCAGCCCCGACCCCTGCCCTGACTGTTTCAGTCATGCGCCTTGTGGGAAGATGCTGCGACATGTGTGACGAGTGCCGACGGATGGTGAGCGTTGCATGCCGAGACGTTCCAAGTCCGGCCCTGACATGTCGGATACTTTCATGAACGGAAGGGGTGCTATGGTTTATCTGCAGAAGAGACTTGAAACTTTTCAAAAGCCCATCGACTTCGTGCAAACGGTGCATCGTGGTCTTGAGGGCAATGCATGTGAGACAAGCAACTCAGGTGCAAGGCCTTGAATATTTCCGGGCCTTTCAACGTGCAGTTCATGTCGCAGGTATGCGGGCTGTGCAGTGCCTCGCATGCGAATCTGCGATTCTAACGGAGGGAGAGCATGAGACAGAGCAGCATCCAAAATTTCCAGGATGCTGATTCATGCATTCATGACACCGGCTTGATGCAGGAAGCGGGAAGCCGGTCGATGCGGGCGGTGAAAGTCATCGAATGCAATGTCCGAGCATCACGAACCGTGCTCCTGCTTAAACTCTTGCCGATGCTGAACTTCAGAATGGATCTTCACACAAGAGGTACCGTTCGTGTCGAAGACCTTCAACATCAATTTCATCGAGCTGGCCACACGTGTCATGCTTGGCCAGGAGAGCGGTGCAATTTACCTGCGTGTGCAATTTACCAGTTGCGGGGGCGCGGCTTGCCGATGTGGGTGCCGTGTCGAGCGTGGTCTTCGAATGAATCTCAGGACATCAAACCGATGAAGGTGCATGTAAACGACTTTGACTTCGTTGCATGTAAGGCCTACCCGTGGCCTGATCACAGAGTGCAGTTTCGACAACCTGCATTGCAGTACCATGTGCAAGGCCCCTATGTTTTCCTTCCTGCGACTGAGTGGCTCCGACCCTCGCGTCGGAGTTGAGATGCAGAGCACCGGCGAGGTGCAGCAGATGCACTTAGGATGAAGCTGAGTATGAAGCTGAGTATGAAGCAAGTATTACTAGTAGCGCCTGCCGATTGATTGGACCCCCACGGACCCCCACGGACCCCCAACATCCCTTAACCTCAATGAGAGGTGGCCTGCTTCGGACACGATGCGCATGAGGCTGTTTGTCTTGATGCATGCTCGCATAAGTTACTGAAGTGAATTATCTGTGTGTTGTGAATTATCTCTCTGTGTGTGTCGAGGCATTCCTGAAATCCATAATTGCAAGTGGCATCAAGATTAAGTTCGAGCCGTGCGGGTCTGCCGGGCTGTGTTGCTGGTGCATCAGCACTACCGCGCTCACTGGATTTGCCGTGTTTGTCGGAGTTGCCAGGCTCCTGTTATCTTTAGGCCCACAGGACGCTAATGAGCACAGCCCATGAAGCTGTTTGCGGTCTCATGTCATATGAGCTTGCAGTTCGTAGTTTTGCAGCCACGCTGTCAGGAGGACAAGATGACAATTCTTGAGCACTTGCCCTTGCTAGACGAAATGGGCTATAAGTCCAACCCCTGGATGTGTGGAAAAGCCTCCGGTTGAAGAGAGTTTGTCTTTCACACCGCCTGCGCCTGAGGCTGTATGCCACTAGCGGAACAGCGTCGTTCCTTCAGGCCGCGGTGTTTGCCATGCTACGCTTGGCAGGGTGGGCGTTAAGACTGACATTCTGGTGTGGGGCAATTTATGTTCAACGCAGAACGGCAACATCATCTCGTCTCCATGTTGAGACACTGAGACACACACACAAATAGCAGCATGCTTGCAATTTAGCAAGACCGGGCTGCTGGCAAAGTGGCATCTCCACAGAGATGTCTAGCTGTTGTATTGGCATGCAAGCTCATCAGGCGCAGCGACCAAAGCGGAAAGGAGTTGAAATTCCCATTACCATTCTGAACAATGCTGCATCGACCTCAGAGGTTCTGGAGTGCATCATGCTGAAATCACCGAAGCCATCCAAGCAGTGCAAGCACATGAGAAGATCCAGGTCACGCAAAAGAAGCCCAACGTGACAGACGCGATCGTGGACCTTGTTGCTGACTGGTGCATGTCCTTGTCTTGATGGCATGTGCTGGGGTCGTCTCACAATGCCATCACCCGTGGGTGCAACAGTTCCCGTGACCAGCCTCTGGGCTTCAATGCAGTTGACATCTGCCGACTGTGGGTTGTCGATCTGCGAAACACGTGGCTGCCACATGTGCAGTGGCCCCACCGCCCGAAGCCAAATCCCGTAAAGTTGCAGCATGTTGCAGCCAGAAGTCCGGAAATGAGTTCGAGGTGACTCGCACGAGGCCCTCAAAGCCAGGAGGCTGCAAGGAGCTGCAAGGAGCGGCGACAGGCAAGGAGGGTCAACCAAGGAATCTGATCACGACAGGGGGTCTTTCGCCCGCAGTGGGGGCGAAAGGGGATGAAAGGTGGCGGTGGCAGAGAAAATCCGTCAAAACCAGCGCAACGAGCGGTAGGGTACTCGCAACAGCCTATCTCCCTTTCGGGGCAGTGTGCTGAAGCAGTTTCTCGACACGCAGGAAGGAACTGTCCGAATAGTTATTTGCACGCCGTCTTCTCGGGAGCCAGCCCGGCCTGTTGTTTCACAGCAATGTCTGAGCTTGCCAACTTCTCCCTACTGTCAGTTCCGGTGGCGCCACCGCCGGTTACTTCCTTCGAAGGAGAGGTTGTGCATGAATAACTCTGTGCAGCAACCGGTATTTGTTGCACAACGCCCGCCCCCGAGGCTGCAGTTGCACACGCACCCTGACTTGAGGAAAGCCCTGGAGTCCGGGGCAACCCTCATCGTGAATCTTCGTCAGGCCATGGACCTGTCGGCCTCTTGAAGTGCAGCTCGGCTCACATCCCAGGCGCTGATGCTGATAGATGCGCTTTACCAGAAATGGATCACCGAACGACAAGGACGTGAGTTTTGGACCCTGCAGTCTTGGCAGGAGTGCCATCTTCTAGGCTAGAGAACGGAGTTCCGGTGCCTATTTTCCAACTGTTACCGCATTTTGTGGCAGCTGTCCCGTGCACCTGCGGTGAAAGAGAAAGGGCTCCCGATAGCATGGAAGCAAGCCGGCTACCGGCCAGCGGCTAGTCGCGTCATCGATGGTGGAGGAGACGCAAGAATGAGCCTTCTTCCAGCGCAGTCACAGGCAGCCGCGTGTCCAAAGCCTCAACGGGCGATCAGCCCACAAGCCTGGACCTGACCAGCGTTCAGTCTCTTGAGCTTGACTCTCTTGATCGGTGAAAACAGGGGAGTGCTATGTCACTGTGAAGCCATTGCGTTGCCATTGCTGCTCGTGGTGCTTGGTTGGTTGTTTGGTGTCTGAGTGTGGGTGCTCCGGAGCATAGATGCTGTGACCAGCTCGAGGTAGACGGCAGAGACATAGCCGACTTCGAAAGCATTGGCTCATGCTTTATGACGGAATATCAAGTCAACCGCAGTTTCCTGATTCTACCATTGTCAGAAAGAGCCCTTGCCAGGCATGGCCCGGGAAGCCTCGGGGGATTTCCAACTTACATTAATGTGTTAAAAAAAATTACTAAAAGGGCCTGGCCCCCTCCCACCGGGGGAATTAATTAACGTAAATCTGAAGGGGCCTTCATATTTAAATAGGGATCTTCATATAAAAAAACAGTTGTGTATTTCATGCCCTCCAGAAGGGGGGAGCTCCCCCCCTTTGTTAGGAACTAAATCATTTAATTTATTTAGATTTTTAAATTAGTTAATTCTCCCACCCAAATGAAATAATTTAAATAACTTATATGTGGAGGGGCCTTCATATTTACATTACTTAATTCGGGGAGGAGAATTAAATAAATTGAATATGGAGGTGCCTTCATATAGAAATAGAAATAGAGGCCTTCATATTTAAATTATCTGATTCGGGGAGGGGGTTTAATTAAATCATGTAAGTTTTTTGCACATTTCAAATATTTTCAATAGTTTGAATAGTTTGAGGAAATTTGAAGAAAGTAAATCCTGAAGGGGGGGGGGCCTGGCCCCCTCCCGCAAAGGGGAAGTAAAAACAATTCGATAATTTCAATCTGAAGGGGCCTTCATATTTGACCCATAAGCAAGGAGAGTACGTCTGATGCGCCGCCTCAAGCTTCTATGGATTGGTTGTCCTTCGGATTGGATTTCGGGGTTCGGGCTTTGAGTACGAACTTGTTCGGCTTGGCTTGTCCGTTCTACTGTCATCCCGCTTCTTGGCCGACCATTGTCCTCGCCCTTCTCCTTGGCTTCATCTCTGGCGCTGTCTCCACTGCCTGCCTTTTCTTCCATTTCAGGCCTTCCTTCACACAGGTGGGCCAAGAGCAAGCCCTCAATGCGCGGCTGCGCGGATATTTGCATGCAAGGCCAGGGTCATAGGGATCTTCCGTTAACTACTAGGGTTGGTTCTCTTGAGGTTACTATTAGGGGTCCGCTTCCTGAGGTGAGCGCATTCCTGGCCCATCTGCAGGACTTTGAGGTGCCAGAACCATCAGAAACCTCCTTTCATTGTGTGCAGTCGCCCCGTGGGAACTCTCCTGTTCCTGATCCTGCCAGTCACGTATCCCAATCGGTCCCTGCCGCTTCCCAGGTGCAATTGCAGGCCCCCAGGGCCCCGGACCCTACCGTGGGCCGAGCAGGTACTGAGGCCGCCTTCCCTCCTTGCCCTCCAATCTCTTGGTGTTGGGCCGAGGCCTGTCCGTGACGGGCCAACTCAGTGGTGAAGATCGGATCCGCCGAGCGTGGCGTGCCGGGTGCTGGGCGAGAGAAGTCCTTGCTCACAGGGTTGGTTCACCCTTGCCTTCGCCCACGATCCCCTTCGCACCCAAGTTCTATTGTGTGGTTGGGGGGGTAACTTTGAGCCTGCTTTGTACCGCACTTATCGTGCCTTCTCTTCCGCTGTCGGTCCCCTTGAGGGAAGCCCCGTGGTCTCGCACGCTTTCCCATCGGAAAGTGAAGCGCGTGCTTACACCACTGCTTCCGGCCTCACCTGGCCTTTGGGTCGCTGATCATGGCCACCTTCGGTCCCGACGATGTGAAGGTGTTCAGCGAGGCGCCTTCCCTCTTTGTGTACGAGCATGCTGGGGATGGAGACTCAATCGTCGAATCCCAGGCCATTGTCCTGCTAAAAAGAGAACATGGTCTCCTGCTACTGCTGCCTGCGGGGGCCATCCCCGAGGAGGAGTTGGTCCAGGGAGTTTTGGCCCCAGTGCCCGACTTACTGGGCCCTTCTCGGGTAAAAGAGGTTGGTGCTGTGCGCCTGGTTGGTTCAGAGGTGGTTCCTGTTGCAGATATGGTGCTCACGGCATTGCTTGTGGACTTCTCAACTGCGGTTCTTGCCAAGCTTTACGCCGTCAACCAGGCCGAAGATCCCGAGTTGCTCCTTTCCTTCTGCCCGGATCAGCCCGACTTGATCCCAGACCCTTCCGTTGCTTTGCAGGTCGCCCTGGAGTGGGCACAGCAACCACAGGAGGAGGTAGGCGAAAGGTTGGCGTTCTACTCTGCAGACGAGCTCCCTCCACCTGTCAGGAAGCGCCCCGTGCTCAGGCTGAGCAGGGAAGATCCTCTGCAGCGGGCCGCCGGCTTGGATACCGCTACCGCAAAGTCTGCAAACCCTGTTGTGGCAAAACCGAAGCGACCCACCACGGCGCTGCTCGCCCAGCAGCTTCAGCAGATCACGGCAGTGATCCCGGGGCTGGCTGCTCAGGTCGAGGAGCTAGCAAAGGCGCAGGCAGCCTTACAACAGCAGCAACTGCTGCAGCCTTCGCCCCCTCCAGTTGCCGGGCCTGGTTCCACTGTGGCTCAGCTTGCGGCGCCGCTGGGGCTAGGAGCTTCCCCAAAGTTCCTCCCGGCCGCAGGGCTTGGTGGGCTAATCGGTCCTCCCCCGGGGCGTCGTCCAACTGCAGCCCCGCCGCACACCCTCATGACATTCCCAGAACAGGAGTGCGAGGAGGCTGCCGAGAACCTAGCCAATCCCCAGAGCTCCGAGTCACCCTTGGCTCAGGCGGTGCTGGCGCAGTCCCAAGCACTCACAGCTCTGGTTGCACAGCCGTCCACAGGAGACACCGCGGATCTCAGCCTGCCCGGAGCATCAGTGGGGGCTCGAGGGGCAAACCAACGAGCAAAGCTGCAGGAGGAGCTCGCCAGCAACAAAGGCGTCTTCTACCACGCTGTCCTCCAAAACATGGCCCGCCGCATGTCCCCTGCCAGCAGCCACTCTTCCGATCCGGCCGAGCTCTTGAGCCACGGAGTCTGTCTTACGAGGTATTGGGAGAGATTCGGAGGATTCCACCGCGCAAAGGACCTAGGTATTCTGGCTTTCCAGGTTGCAAATGCCTTGGACGCGATGCAGGCTGGAAAGACTGCCCAGGCGGCAGACCACCTGGCCCTCCTGGCCGTTTGTTTGGAACAGGGTGCTCTAGACGGTGGTCGGCTCGACCTAGGGTTTCAGCTGACCTTTCTGGAAGAACCGCCGGCCGCCCTCTTCTCGGACAGAGCTCTTCAAACGGGGATTCAGGCAAGAGCGTTCGCGCCGCTGGCTGCTCAACGATGGGTGGCCGTTGTCCTTGCTTACATGAAGGAGCTCGAGGTGATAACCAGTCGCAGGCTGGAAAACCAAAAAGGAAGGGCTTCGCACAGTGGCTCCGAAGCCCCAGGCGACAGGCCCCAGACGGCTGCCAGTCCAAAGAAGCCCCCTCGGAAAAAGCAACAGCAGCCGGCCCAATGAGGCCGCCCGCTCTGTCTGGTGATACGAGTGGCGACGGCGCCCCTTTTAATGGCTTGCCCCCACCACCATCAGCCGACGTTGTGCACGCTGCCCTCTCGGAAGTCTGCACGGCTTCCTCTTTCTTTGCTGCCCTGCCGAGGTGGTTGGTCCGCGCCAGGACTCCATTCTCGGCTTTCCTGGCCTTTTCTTTCCGTTCTCCGCACAGCTGCTGCGGCACTGCCCCAGCTTCCGCTATCTTTCCACTGCCGGCCCCTTTCTTGGGCATCTTCCAGAGCAGTGGCCCACGGCTTGCTAAATCTGAGTGGCGTCGGCTTAGATTGCGGCGCGCCCTCCACTGTGTCGTTATGGCTTTGAATTTCCTTCATGACCAGTTGAAGTGGCCCTCTCAGACCGAGTTGCTGTGGAGACATCCAAATCCCCACCAGAGGCGATGCTTTAAACGCATCTGGAAGTTCTTGATAGCGTGTGACTCCCGCCAGGAGCAGATGCTTCTGGTACCTGGCAGGTCGGGTCCTGAATTAGTTTGCAAACTTCTCGAGCTCGAGCACCTTGCTTCTGCTATATGCGCCTCGAGCCAGGGCTCTTACGCGTCCTCCATGCTGGACGAGCCTTTCTGTGAACCGCCTTCGGCTCCTCAGGCCGGCCACGGACTTCCCAGCCCACCTCCGAAGGTTGTGAGTTCTGGCCTCGCTACTGCTGACATAGTGAGGCCAGCCCTTGAATCTCCACATGACGCATTCAGCCGGGTTGGTTCCCCTAATCCTGGACCCCTCCCTAGTTCGTCGGGTTCTTTAGGTAATCCCTCGCCCGGGGCTAAGCCGTCCCCCGCAGCTGTGCCATCTGCCTTGGCTGGCCATGATGACTGCGCTCAGGCGCTGCCGTGCCTACGTGGTTTCCCTAAGCCTGGACCCCTCCCTAGCTCTTCAGGTTCTGAGGGAATCCTCCACCCCCGGGGGTAAGTGGGGTTGGGTACCCCAAGGCCTATCCCTTCCTTAGTGACCCTAGTGGTTCCGTAGGTAATCCCCTGCCCCGGGCTAAGCCGCTTCCTGCAAATGTGCCACTTGCGCAACCTGGGGTTGGGTGTCCGGGTTCTTTAGGTAAGGGTCCGGGTTCTTTCGGTAAGGATAAGCTGCTTCTTGACACTGTGCCGTCAATTCAGCCTGACAGGTCATTGCCCCAGCTCCAGCCCTACAGGCCTCTCGATGTCTCCCGACTGAGGATCAGTGGCAGGGGAAACTGGGACGCAAAGCTGTGGCTAGATGGCGTATTATGGCTGCCGTACCAAGAACCCAAGATACTGCAACATGGCCTTGACCCCACTTGGGCAGATCTTCCGGACGTTAGTCTTGAGAGTCCCACAGAGAACCATCGACTGGCTCTCCTCTGGTCCACACAGAACATTTTGCACCTCAAGCGGGGCCCGCCCAACTTGCGCACTGCTTGCCGCGTTTTCAACGCATTCAAGGATGATTCCAGGGACAGGCAGATAGGGGGCCGCAGGGCCCAGAATTGTCTTGAGTACTCTATCAGTGGACCCTCCAAAAACCTACCGTGCGGAGCCCAGCTGGTCTCACTCCTCGTGAAAAGATACTCCCAGAAAGTCGTTGCTTTTATAAGCGACCGCAAGGATTTCTATCACCAGATGCGAGTCTCGGAGGAGAGGGCGTGTTCACCTGGGTTTTTCCTTCTCGCCCGAGTCCTTTGATGCCGAGGGTTCCAGCTCTGTGGATTCGCCTCATGACGCGAGCTATGCCGAACAGGCCCACTCACTTCTCACTTGTGGGCTTGAGGGCCACCGCCTCGCCAGCTGCGACGTCGCTTCCCACAACAAGAGAAAAGGCGTCCTCGTGCCCTCGGAGGTCACTCCATGCTTCATGTCTCTTTTCCAAGGCGACCATTTAGGCGTGGAGTACGCCCTCGAGGCTCACTCCCAACTCCTTTCCTTCTATGGCGCTTTGCCTGATGGACAGCGGCTTCTCGGAGGATGTCCTGCTCCCTTGTCTGACACCTGGGCTGCTCTTGTCATCGACGATTTTGTCAGCCTCTCTGTGGTGCCAGCTGCTACTAAAGCTGAGGAGACCCAAGCCGCTGCGCTCCATCGAGCCGCGATCTGCGCGTATAAAGCTGAGGAGGTCATGGGATCTCCCGAAAAAGACGTCATTGGCGCCACCAATTTCAAAGCAATCGGAGCCGAAGTTATCTCTGGAGACGCTGCCGTAAGAAATGGCCTTGTGACGGCTGCTGCCCCTGAGTCGGCGCTTACCTCTTGCTGTCCTCTGTTTGCGTGCGGCCAGGCTCCCTATTTCGTCCCCGCTCCTCTTGTCAAAACTCACTGGGGCCCTTGTCTCCGCTGCCATGTTTAGAAGGTGCTGCATGGTTCTCCTGTCTAAGGTCTTTGAGCCTGTTGCCAAGACCACCGCCTGCCCATCTGACATGAAGAGGCCTATTGGCCTCTCCCGGCGCACTGCCCAAGAGCTTGCCTTATGTGGAGCCCTCATGCCGCTCTTCGCTTCCGACCTTTGTGCCGAGCACTCTGAGTCTCTCTACGCCACTGATGCCTCACTTGGCCGGGGTGCGATATGCAAGACTACCATCCCTCGAGACCTTAGTCGAAGCCTTTGGTTGAGTAGCGATAGGAAGGGGGGCTACAGCCGTCTTGACTTCTCTGCGCGGGCAAATTGCCGGGCAGCTGGCATCCCTCTCTCCGACGAGGATTGTGAGGCCCATCTTGATCCTGAGGACATTCCCAGAGCACCTGAGTTCATCCTTGACCTCATCGAGATATGTGGAGGATCCGCTGTCGTCTCAAAGGAGGCCTCCGAGCTTGGGCTTGTTGTTGGGCCTCCCATAGACATCTCTGAGAGCCCACATTTTGACATCCTCGATGCATCTTTCGGAGTCTGGCTTGGCTCTATGCTTGCTTCGGGTAGAGCTAGGTCGCTCTTTCTTTCCCCTCCTTGCGCCACCTTCAGCCCTGCTGCTTACCCCAAACTGGGCACTCCTGCGAAATCTGAAAGAATCAGCCGAGGGCAGTCTAGGATCAAGATCGGGAGCGCGCTTGCTCAACGATGCCTAGCTTTCTTCTGCATCGCCTGGTACTGGGACGTCCCCACGCTCTTCGTGACGCCAAGACTGTCAAGGCTTGCCTGGACAAGATGGTGGAAGGCCGTCGCAGGTCGCAATGGAGTCGAGGAGTGGCATCTTGCTAGTTGCAGGTATGGGAGTCCCCACCGAAAGGAGTTCCGATTCCTTGGCTTCGGAATCCCAAAGCACCGGCTTGAGCTAAAGTGCAAGGGGGGTCACCCTCACGCAGGGCTCCAAAAGGCCGCCAGTCAAGGCTCCGCTGCCTTTTGCCCTGGTCTTGCGTACCAGATTGCAAAAACTCTTGCTGAGGCAATTGGTGCCCCTCAGCAGCGTGAACGCCCTGGCATTGAAAACATCATTATCAATGACTGCCTTTGTGCGGCAAAATGGGAGGTCACAACCGTCATACCCTGGCGTTCCTCTAGCCACATCAACGTGTTGGAGCTAGCTTCGCTTGTTGCTCTGTTGCGAAACATCGCGCGGGAGGAGCCTGACGCACGAGTCACGGCGCTCTCCGACTCTTCTGTCGCAAAGAGTGCCCTGGCAAAAGGTCGATCGACCTCGAGGGCGCTCACTCCTGCCCTTCAGCGGGCTGCCGCGCTCCAGCTCGCTTTTGGTTTATACTTAGCCATAGGGTTTGCTCCTACAAGACTGAATACTGCAGATGCTCCCACTCGCTTCAGGGAGCTCCCCGAGAGAGCAGCTGTTGCGATTCACAAAGCTTTCACTGTCGATCAGTGCCACGCGCTTGCTGTCCTGAAGCTCTCGAGGCCCCTTGCCTCCTGGGCTCGGATCTTCATCGTGGTCACATGCGTCCAACGTTGTGGTGCTCTGTCAGCTGCTGCCTTCCCTGTCGCCTCCGAGGGCTCATCTCCTTCTTCCCCTTTTGAGCCTTGCGACGGGGAGATCGCCCGTCCCTCTGTCCACTGCGGCCTCCTGCTCATCTGCGCTGCTGCTGTTGTGCTCTCTTGCTGCCTGCCTCTTCTCGGCTGGTTCGCGAGCCGCGGGCCGCCGTTTTCTGAAGCGTGCAGGGAGTCTAATCGCAGGCCTGCGTGCGGGGCCGGGCGTCACCTCTGTAGCCGTCTCCAAGTTGCCAAGCCTTTCTACCCTCGCCGTTCTTTCTCCAGGAGCCCCTCCCCTCGCCTACTCTCTTCTACCTTCCTTTCTCTCTTGAGTCTCTGTCTCACTGGTTCGGCTTCGTTGTTCGGTGCTGGTTTCGTTGTTAGGGTTGTAGTCCTTAGCAGCCTCGCCCGAGCCATGGCCACACCAGCACCTGCGACACCTGCTGACGCCCGCAGAGCTGAGAGAAGGGGGCCCATCACGCTCGTTGCTGACCGGATTGTTCGACCAGTCACCCGCGAGAATCGCGCTAAGCTTGCCCATGCATTTGATACTTGGCTGATCAGGAATGAGCGTACATCTCTTTCATACCTGCTGGATCTGCCCCTAGGCAAGGCTGAAGCTGTCGCTGCCGCATTGGTCAAGTATGGCCAGTACATGTTCAAGTCAGGAGTCGCCTATGGAAAATTCTCTGAGACGATCAATGCCGTAGCATCTTTGCGACCCAGTCTGCGGCGGAACTTATCTGCCGCTTGGGACTTGGCTTTTGCCTGGCAGGCCGAGGAGCCACATGAGCATCATAAGGCCATGCCCAAAGGTATCCTCCTGGCGATTCTCGCTACAGCACTAGCGTGGGGCTGGCTTAGGGAAGCTGCAGCTCTGGCCTTAGGGTGGACTGGACTGCTACGAGCAGGCGAGATCATTGGAGCGCTTCGCTCCGATCTCATCCTGCCTGAGGACTGCGGCCCGGGAGTTGAATATGGCATCCTACAGATTCGTTCCCCAAAAACTCGAGGACGGGCTGCCAGACACCAGGCTGTAAAGTTGGACCCCGCTGACGTCCTGAAGCTTCTTTCTTTGGCCTTTGGAAAACTACTGACAGTCGGCTCTGGCCTTTTTCAGCTGGTACCCTTCGTCGACGGCTTTGTCTTCTTCAACAACGCCTTGGGCTTGTGCGCCAGGGAAAGGTCGTCTTCGAGCTCTCGTCGTTGCGCCCAGGTGGCGCAACCTTTCTGCTACACTTGACAGAAAGCCCTGACCTGGTCAGACGAAGGGGCAGGTGGCTTACAAACCGTGTCATGGAGATCTACTTGCAGGAAATCGTCGCGACAACTTTCATTCCTAGACTGGAGCCTGCGGTTCGTGCTCGAGTTGATACTATGGCTTACAGTTTTTCGTTGTTGCTGGAAAAGGCCTTTTTCTTTGAACGTGCGCGGATTCCCCGGGAGGCTTGGTTTTACTTGCTCGAAAAACCAGCAGACGCTTGAGGAGGATGTGGTGGTGCGGTTTTCTCACGGCATCGCCGTCCTCACCGGCTTCGTGCCCCGGCTTGGGTGGTGTGGGTTTTCGAGGAGCTGCTTGGAGCTCCCAGTTAGCTTGCATTCTACAGGAGCATGCTTCTGGCCCTCCAGCAGCTCGCATGATGGTGGTGCCGATTGCACAGCACATGGCACCTACACGTACTTCTGCATGACGCTGCGCGGAAAAGGAAACGAGCTTGCTTGACCCACAAGCAAGGAGAGTACGTCTGATGCGCCGCCTCAAGCTTCTCCCGCCCACCCGCCCAGTCGCTGGTTTTCGAGGAGCTGCTTGGAGCTCCCAGTTAGCTTGCGTTCTACAGGAGCATGCTTCTGGCCCTCCAGCAGCTCGCATGATGGTGGTGCCGATTGCACAGCACATGGCACCTACACGTACTTCTGCATGACGCTGCGCGGAAAAGGAAACGAGCTTGCTTAAATAGGGGCTTCATATTTAAAGTCTTGAATTCCCCCCCAGAAGGAGGGAGCTGCCCCCCCGCCTTTCAGGATTTAAATTATCCAAATTTACATTACTTAAACTATTTAATTCTCCCACCCGCCTTAAATAGTTTAAAGCGCCCCCCTTCAGGATGTCACCATGTCGACGCCTGTCATCGGAAACATCGATGCTCGCCGATGTTTTTTCTTAATTGTGGGGTTTTTGGGGGGGAGAGCAAATATTTGTGTGCCTTGATTTGAAGCTGATGTGCCATCAAGCCAGTAGTAGCATGTGCATCGCAATGGTCTGGAGAGGTTTCTGAGGTAAACTGCCTTGGTCTAAGACAACTTGGTTGCGACCTTCGAGGACAGACCATAACTACAGTGATGGTATGTCAGTGCCGCCTTGCATGCTGCCTCGTGGCTACATAGCTTGTGCAAGATTTGTGCAAATGCATGACAAATCATCATCTTGCAGCTTGGGCTATCCACCCTTCAGTTGCCAGACAACCGCTTTTGACAAGATGTTGGACTCGGATCATCCAATGTCTTGTAGACGAAGTTTGATGAGGTCGACATCTTGGAAAGTAGGAAAGTGATTACATTGAACACGGCGACGAAAATGGATCTTCATGCAATACCGTATGTGTCGTATAGAATTTCATGTTTGGGGCGTTCATTGTGTGTCTTCATGGACGCGCGGAGCTACTTGGACGAGGTCGGCGACTTAGGAAAACATAAGTGCATCGCTATTCCGAGAATATGCCTGGAGGTGCTCGGCCATAATTCATTCCGTCATGGTGATGACTCATGGTACACACGCTCCTAGCATTTTGTGCAGGCGTGGCAACTCTGCGAAAAGGACTTGGACGATGTGGAGGACATGAACAAATCGTGAGTGACCGGGGATCAAGCACTCATCATTCGCCTCTTTGGAAAAGCCACGGCAAAAGCTGCTCTTCCCATGTGCGACCGTAGGAAGTGGTCGACCTTCGTGATTGCGCGAGTCTTGGTGATTCTCACATGGGCAAACCGTCAAAAACACGCTTTGGCACAACAATTCCCAACATCAAAGGCCAGAAATGATGCGAGGGTAATGGAGGGTGAAAGGCTGGTGGGCACGAGGGTGCTCGGGTGTGCTCGTTCACCGAGTTTGCTGCTCCCTCGCTTACACAGTATGCTACACTACTCATGTTACCCACGCAAAGGATCGCATTGGACTTCACCTTGACTGAAATTCCCCGAACGATGCTGGAAGCAGCAAAAGCATGGATCACTTAGACTTGAGAACAGAAGCCTCAATGTTATTGTAGTGAAACGAGAACAGACTAGGTGCACCTGGTGGGCAGTTTTTCCATTTGACATTTGAGTTGAAGCTTTCATTTCGTGTTGATTAAGTGCGGCTCTGCTAAACGCCCAGTGCAACCAATGCCCAATTGATGTCATCCCTCATAGTTTGCGATTTGTCGTGCTGTCGGCACAAGGTGGCTTCTGTGAGACAGATTTTGCTCGCGCAAGTCTCGTGCTGAGTGATATTGTCCCGGATGGCTCCATACAGCACTGCAGTTGGTTTGCTTCAGCAACACCAACTGCAGGCACTGCATCCTCGGCACATTTCCGGCAAGCTCGTGTGTGCTCTACCACGACTTGTCAGACGTCCTGAGCTTTGACTGTCAGCTGGTTTTGTGTTGATGATCGGTTTATGTTGGGACCCGACTTCGTTGGCGCGAACAATCCCCACGAAGGCCAAGAGATGCTTTTTCAGATGGCCCCCGATCCCTAATGCAAGGCTAGAAATCCACGGCCCCGATGCTTGCAGTGAAAGCTCGGCTGCAAGCTGCACACTCAGAATTACTGGACAAGAACAGTGTCACACATGCATGTTCCATGTTCAGCCCTGAGTCAAGTGTTGCCCGATGCGTGGCTTGTGGATGTTGTATATCTGGCACCACAGGTGATATCAGGTGAAATGTGTCTTGCGGGGTGCATCATTGCTTTCATGGGATGTTTCGGTTTTGCTTTGCGTGCTGATGACAGCACCCTGTACTCGTAAAGATCCTGCAGGCAGTGATCAGCATCTGCACATCGCGGATTTGGATTTGGACAGCGCTGCGCTGAGTAGCTTTCTTTGCCCTGGTAGATGGTGCACTTGATCCATGTCAGCACGATTTCTCCCATCGCTAGGTCTGCTTCGGGCTCTTGTCTCTGCAGAGGAGCGCAACCTTTGGGATGAGAGCTGAAGATTATTGTTGGCCGTGTCGAAAATAGAGGGTGACCGCAGCAATAAACACGTTGCGTGCGTTCTGGATGCGCAAGGAGGGAGCATGATTTGCTGAGTTTGCTACTGCTTTGCTGGCTTTTGCAGGAAGTGGACAATTCCGAGGCGGGCAGGGCTGACTGGGGAAGAAGGAGGAGAACCATCGACAACCAAATTGAATTGCGTACCGTATAACAATACGCAATTCACATGGCAACTTCATTTTCGTAGTGCGATGAACTGGACGACATCTCTTGTGATGTCATTTGGGCTTCTACAGGTTCTGAAGTAGGCTTCTGTAGGGTCAGCTACCACTAACTTCTCTCCTGTGGCAGTTACTGGCGATGGTCGCTTTCTTGTTCGTTCAAAGGGGGTTTACATCCACGTCACACAGCAAGAACCTGTGGGATAGGGCAACCGGCTTTGACTTGAAGGCTGTCAGGGTCACATTCAGGGACGGGCTGGAAGTCATTAATCGGGCAGGCGCGGTTGATGTGGATTCTGGCTCCTAAGCTGTTTCTCGTCTAAGGTGTGTATGGGTGTGTGTGTGTGTGTGCGCCATGATTGCCAGAGCTTTCTGGATCAGGCTGGTGGTCTCTCTGCATTGCTTGCAAACACGATCTACGCGTGCGCTGCCCTGCCGTCCTCTGGCACTGCAGCATAGTCGTGCAGTTCACACGTATGCTTGCCATTTGTACATCGAGTCCTGTGGCCTGATAACCAGGTACAGTGTCGCGGATACTTGCAGTGAAAGCACTGCGCCATCAACTCCAGAGGCTGCAGCTGTCCTCACACACACATTTCCTGTTGTCTTGCATGTTCTTGCGGTCATTGCCAGACGGCGGGACAGGTAGAAGTGAAGGCAGAAAGTGCGCAGAAGTTTGCGGAATTGATCTGCACAGGAGAGCCCGCCGAATGGAGGGCATCCAGAGCCCAGAGCCGTTGCCTCGTCTCTCCAGCCCAAGGTTGCAGCACGATATAATTTGTTAAAATCATATTCATATTTGTGTGCATATATGATGTATATATATATATATATGTATGTATATGTTGTTCAGTCTCACTTCCCAAGGCAAGGGTTGAATTCACACAAGCAAGACGTCAGTAATTGAATATTACTTACATGTTGACTAAATACCAATTAGATACATTTGACCAGTAAAGGCCATCGTGCTAGGAAAGCCTACAAATCCCAAAAACCATCCAAGCTTTTCGGGAGAATCCCGATGAAGTTTGTATTTATTCATTTTTTGATAAGGTTGATTCAACTTTCATGAACTGAATAAGCATACAAGAATCATATGCATAATTGGTTAGTTAGACACATCGTTGGTTGATATTCATGGCGTACTTGCTGAAGACTCGCTACAAAACTTTAAGCCGGTGAGGGCCTTGCTCATTAACGTTCCTGTATTGCTACATGTTCAGCTCTCCCCACCCCCGCCCCTTTCCAATATCGCCATGTTGCCGAAAGATTTCGGACTTAGATCATGGGGAACGGGGGGAGGGGGGGTGAGCATAGACATGCTTAAAACCCAGAATGCCTGTGCCAATGCACACACGTTTAACTTGTTGGAGTTGTGGTTTGTAGCATCTCTTTGTAGCATTGCACGGACTCCATGCGCCTCCTTTCGGCGGGCACCTTGCGGGCTATGCGTTGGGAAGGTTCAGCTGGACTCCCTCGGGCTGCCGCCTGGCCCGGCGGACTGGCCAGAGCTGCTTGGGGTGCAGACAGATCTTGTGCCAACATCTCTACTCTCTCTTGTTTTGATCGGCAGGGCGAATGCTCATGTTGTCAGCATCAGCTTCTTCATCATCTATATGTTCACCACCTATCTTTGAGGCTGGCCCAAAGTCATAGAAGTTCTGCCTTCAGTGGCTACAGCGGAGTGCGAATCTCAGCTGCCTTGCAATGTTGTCCTGTGTGCCGTATTGTTGGGAGGAAACTAAATCAAAACAGGTTCTATCCTTTTCTGACAAAACGAACCAGAGAGACACGACGAATGGTGCAGCAATTGAATTTGAGAAAATTC